GTTTGTTTGTTTTTTATGGTGTTAGAGATGGGACCCAGTGCCTCAGGCAATACTATGCAAGAGCTCTAACTCTAAGCTATATCCCAGCCCCTTGAGTTCATATTTAATGACATTAAATAAGTATTTATTTTTAAAAAAATGGCAAGGCTTCACTAATGAGTACATCTCAAGATTTGATCCCATACAGTTCCTACATATGGGAAGACAGGAATGGGCTTTGGTTTTGTTAATATCAACACTCTTTCAAAAATGAGGAAGTCACACAAAGTAGAGCTTTGAAATTCTGTCTGGAACTCTGGAACTAGAGGAGTTCATGTTTATAAATACCTGCCTACACAGGGTAAGCAGCATATGGACAGAGACAACAGGTGGTTTTCAGAATTACTCATGCTTCACAAGAAACAGTAGCTTCACTTCTAGAAAAACATGCTGGCTGTATTTAAGAGTTTGTGTGCACTGCCAAAATGTGAAGTCCAAAAATAATTGCAAGTTAAAAGACCCACATTTTAAAAATACAAGAGAGTAGTGTGCTCTGAGACATGAAAACTGGAGATCAGACATTCTAATCTTTAAACTCCTGTTACTTCTGGCCAGCATGAGCTTATCCTGAATAATGGCAAACCCTTTTTCTTAAATACGTATCCCATTGTGACGTTTGCCATGGTAAATCACAACTGCATTTGAATTAAAAATGTCCTCCTTGACTGTATGAAGAATGTTGGGGTTCTGGACTTTGCTTAAAGAGGAATTAGCTACCTTGACTACATATATAAACACAAACATGTTCCATTGGATTAGCCACTCTCCACTGTAAACTACAAGCCCTTAGGGAGGGCCGAGAAGCAGTGGCCTAGCAGAGTAGAAATGAGGACTGAATGTGAGGAGACAGCTATCCAGGCTGCTTTCAGAGCTATGGTGAAACTATAGTTTTCCACTTTAGAATTAAGGGTCACAAAATATAGCTAATTATAATAAAAGTTATTTTCCTTAAGGGGTGTTATTGCCAGTCAATCCTGCTTTCCAGCTGTTTAGATCACCAAGGACCTGTTTATATTTCAGTGTTACATTACCATCTGTTGGTTATAGAAAGACAAGGATAACCGGCAAGTTGAACCTTCCAAACATTACTTTCCAGAGCTGCCTGAAACTCCCAGTGGGAACAGTCGAAAAACAAACATTATCATTTCACTTGAACTAAGTATGGATTGGGAACCACTAAAGCACATAATATACAAATCAGCTTTGGTAGTAAGCTGACAGTCCGGCCTTTTTCCTGATCATCTTCCATAATCTAAAGGACTGCATAAAACACTTCACACTTGCAGAACCTTAGTATGCTTTGCAAGACGTTCATATCTACTCATGACTGCATTTTTTTTGAGAACATCATACATTTTTTTAGACCTTTCTAGGTCTTTTAACTCTTGATTCATGATATTTTAGAGTTCAGTGACAAATGTCAGTGTCCTGGCTTGATTTGAATGAAAGAAGTCCCAAGGACATTGTAATCACTTTGACAGCTCACTAGGGATGAGTGTGAGCACTCCTGTCTTTCATGTTGTGGTGGGCACAGTGTCAGGAATCCTGCTTGCTAACTCACCTTTGGTTCCTTTTGAGTGACTACGCAGTGTTTTATCGTCAGTCTCTGCATCCATCTGTAACATGAACACAGGGTTTTGAGGTCATTCCTTTGACACTGACCATTGTGAAAACATGTAATTAGAAATTCTAAAGGTCATTATGAAAACCAGGGCAGTAGCCGTCCATGCTGCTGAACTCCCTTCTGGCTCTGTGGGAATGTGACTGACTGTTCTTGAATACCTCTGGTTTTAAGACACAGCAATAAATGTGGGAAACCAGAGAGGACAGCAGCGAGAGAGCAGATGGCCTTGTCTACAAGTGTTTGCTACTGGTCACCTGCTTCTGGGATTCCAAAGGTCGAAAAAGGATCATCTTATCAATAGTGGCTGTGAAGGGAAGAGAATCTACAATGCCAAAATAAAAGACCTAGACTCATTTAGTAAAGTCGAATTCCTTTAAATTTCCAGATCCTTTCTGATTATAACTATCTAAGTTAGGAAAAATAACCACCTGTGCAAAAATGCAGCACCAAGACAAACCCTTGCACTGCCCCTGCCAAATACCACTGGGAATTAAGAACATCATCAGTGACCTACATTTACTCTCTGAATTCCAAAAAAACTACTAGTTATAATCACGCAAATGTAGAAGGAAAGCAAAATTGAGTGAGGTGCACGGCAGTATCAAGTTCCCATCATTACTGAATATTTTAAATGTAATCAAATAAATTATCAAAGGGATGCAAAGGCTTTTAAAGCCTTCTGTTTTTCATAGAGTCTGACCCCACGACATCCATCTATTTTGCTAAAATTTGCTAATCATCTCTTAGTTTAATTCACTTCTGCGCACTGTTAGAAGAATTCTTAAATATAAATAAGATGCTCTGCTTGTTGCAAATCAGGGACAGGCAGAAGGCACACTCTGTGGCTTCTGTCCTCAAATCTGGGTGTGAGCAGCGGCAGGGTGACTGCCATGGTAATGGGAGCCGGCCCTGCTCTCAGAGGCTAGGTTGTGATTGAAGGCACTGACCTGCCATAGATGTATAATAGGGGAGCAGGTGTGGCAATGATGGACTTTAATTTCCTTTAATAAACCTTTTATGTGCCACACTTTTACTGCCATTCGATGCTCTCCAAGGTCCTGCACATAATAGGTTCATTACTTTTGATTACTATAGTCTATTGAGACAAACAACTCCAGAACACACTATATATTATGTTCAGTTAAACCAATATAGACTATTTATCCATTGTGAATTTTTTCACCTGCAACACTACAGATGAAATTAACAACAGCTCTCATAAGCTAAAACTATTAAACCCACCAGAACTCTTTTGTCATTGCTTCATAATAAACACCATACCAATCGTTGAACTGCTTTTTAAATTAGCAAACAAAAAGTATTCACCACTTTGGCTGAACAGCAGTCGCTTTAGTCTAAATAAAATGGTTCTTTGTTATAAATATTTTAAAACTACACAATAACAGAAAACAACAGTAAAACAGAGGTGATTTTTTTTCCTGTGGATTTTCCTTCTTTTGAAACCACATGAGTTTATGACAGATGCGACACTGCCTAGGATTAAAGGGGCTTGGTTTACTCAGGACAGCGCACACTGCCTTGTGAAATCCCCTCCTCCCGGGAGGATCTCTGTTGCATATAAAGTGGCTCAGCTCATGCAAACGTACCTATGTGTGCTACACAAATAACTAGATTAAGAGAGATCAGTAGCATGTGAGGGTTAAAATGATGAAACACATCACATATTTCTGAGGAAGCTACTCCCATGGGAGAGCATCCACACAGCACAAGTCTATTATCCTGCCACACAGGTGCCATTAACTCTCCCTATCCACTCTGTAAAATGCCCCCAAAACCAGGGAAGGTTGAACTCCATGAGTTTCTTTACTGAAACTGAAACACAGGGTGCCAAGAGTGCAGTAGGCACACCCAAAAGTTTCAGGAACATTTTTACATACAACCTCTTTGTAAGAGCTTTGAGCAGCTACTTATGGGTCTACGTCTTATAGCCAACCTACAACCCATCTATGCATTGAAGCTATTGGAAGAAATGCGTAAATATTCATGGACCTCCCCTTGACTGTGCTGCAAATGCTGATCTCATAACTGTATTTTGTTGAGCTATTGTTTCTTACTGGTATAGCATATAGACCCTATATAAGCATTTAAAAATGATTATTTGATGTGATAGTTAAGTTTTCAAATTCAATCCCTGGGCCAAATTATAATAATGAAATGAGAAAAAGAAAGAAGGCTACAGTTTATAAGATGCCTGCTTCATTTTCCTTCTCTCCTTAACCCTAAAGAACAATAGTTACTAAGTTAAGTGTCTGGTCATGTGGCTCCATTGGGGATGATGATTATCAAAAACCTAAAACATATCAGTACTTATTTGTGTGTTGGAGTTTTAACACTTGTGAGATGTTTTTCTCTCCTCTTCCACTCCAATTCAAAAGCAGGTTCTTTATGGGCCAAGGGCACAGCTCAGTGGCAGGAGGCACTGAATAAACAACAAACAAAAGCCAGGTCTTTGTTCTCTAGAACTTTACACTGAAGTAGAAAGTTCTAAGCCTTTTTCGTTGGGATTATTGCCATGAACCTTAAATTGCCAATGGACAGACTTATTCTTTCTACAGTCAAACCTCTTATTCATATGGCTATCTTGCTCAGGTCATACACTATTAAGAGGAGAAGAAGTTTTTATCTAGTGCATATCTTGAGACTTGGGGTGAGGCTAGATCATCATCCTTTCCAGTCCCTCTTGAATTATAAAGGAGGGACATGGTTCAGGAAAAATTACCTAAATAACATAATAATACAATCTTGAAAATTCCAGCTCTTATTTGAAAATATTTTTTTGTATTGGAAAGTGACAACTTTGATTATCTTTCTGCCCTAAATGCTATTCAATAGATTACAGTTAACTTCGCAAAACTTAGGAATTTTTTCTCAAATAGACAATAATTTTTAAAAATCCTGTCACTTTGTGGATTTCTTATAAAATTTGTATTCACCCCATAATTTATGGGTAAGGAAAATTCCTCTTGGATTTGACAATCTATTTCTCAAAAGTGATAAAAGCATTGAAGGTAACTTTGCCAATGCTGATTTCCTGACCTGAGACTATTTTAAGAAAAGTTCGGTTTAATATACAGTATGGATAGACCATGGGTAATATGTTGACAGGAGGAAAAAAAGGTAGTTGTTTGGATCTCACTCTGTAAAAGGCTTCATGCTACAGTCCTCTAGGGGACAAATGGCAAGTGGGAAGGAAACGAACAAAATGAAAATCGATGAACGTCTGAGAAGGGATGTGTAGGAACCAGGAGTTGAAGAAAGCATATACACAATGAAGGGGAAAAATAACCATAGAATAAAATCTATTTGGTTGAGTTTTGGAAAGACTTCATTTAACATCTTTGTTTACTTGTAAATCTATATAGAGATGTACAAAGGCTTTCTTAGTTACTGTATTTGTCCATCTTTTCTTACTGGACTTATATTAGGGGCAATTCTCATAACCCCAGTGTACAGACCTGAAAGCCATTTGGGGGTTGAAAAGGAAGTCTCAGAATTTCTTCTTTCTGGGAAGAAGAGATTCAAGGAGCAATACAGAGTCATTAACTCAATTCGGCTTTCACTTATGCAAGCCACTAGTATGTGGATTTAGTTTCATTTGATTCTGCTTTTAACTCAAAATTTTTTAATAAACTTTAAAAAATATTTATTATTTTTATTTTATGTGTATGCGTGTATTGCCTGCATGTAGGTAAGTGCACCTGTGCTGTACAATGCCAGCTGAGGACAGAAGAGGCTGTGGGATCTCTTGGGACTAGAGTTATGGACAGTTGTTAGCTGCCATGTGGGTGCTGGAATTTGAACCTGGGTCTTCTGCAAGAACAGCCAGTGTTCTTAACCACTAAGCCACCTCTCCAGCCCCTTAACTCAAAATTTTACTTTAACCTAATTTCAAAAAAAAATTTTTTTAAATATTCAATCTCCAACTACCCAAGTAATTACACAGTCACTTCTTAAAAGCTAGGAAAAGCAAACCCATTGGTGATATTGAAATCCCATTTCTCCTCAACAGAACTCTATGCAACAAGCACATTTTTATAATTAGCATTTGGTTCTTTTGGGGAAAGGGCTTCATAATATTTTTTGGAAAAGTCATAGTGATCACCATGTTTTGTGAACATTTTCTGAAATCCCTGATATAATTAATACTGTATTGTTAGGTATCTCATGTGGGAACTTGCAAATTGAAGAGTTCTTCCACACACCCAATGTGCAATCACTTTCCTTCCTTTAAAATTTTAGTATTCATTTATTTATTAATTAATTTATGTAGTGTATGTGTATGTATGTGTGCGCTCATGTACATGATTTTCATGTGGATGGGTGCACATGAGTATGTGGGTGTATGTGTCTGGAAGCCAGAGACCAACCTTGAGTGTCATTCCTCAGGAGCCTGCCACCTTATCATCTCAGAGACTGGCTTGAGACTCCCAGGTTCAGCTAGGCTGACTTCACTCAGGAGGCAGAGATAGGAGAACCTCTGGGAGATCGAGTCCGGCCTGGTCAACATAGCAAGTTCCAGGCCACCTAGAGCTACAGGGAGACCCTATCTCATAAACAAAAGCTTGCCTTTTGAATATATTTCTATTCAATAAAACTTCCCAGTACTGGAGTTACAAATGCATACTACTACGCCTGGCTTTTTACATGGGTACTGGGGCTTGAACTCAGGTCTTCATGCTTGTGCAGCAAGTACTTTACCAATAACTATCTTTCCAGCCCTCATTTCCCTTCTTAACCAGGGCTCTCTGTGCTCCTCTTCTGACATATTTGGACTGACAACATGTTCTGTGTATCACATTATTCTTGTGAGATGTCCTTTCTGATTCTGTTTAAATAAGTTTATTTATTCATTTATTGGTAGTGCTGGGGATTGGTAAGCAAATGCCCAACTGTTGACCTACAATCCCAGTCTATGAGATGTTCTTTTAATCCTGTTACACTCATGGCAAAGCAGAGAGGATGTTCAGTGGC